TATTTATATTATATGATATGTGTTCTTTGTTTTATTATGCTTAAAATTATTTAAATTTGTTTAAAGTTTTATTTATTTATTTATATAATATCATATTTAAAATACATAATGATAAAAATGAAGTTTTTTATTGAGTATAAACTGATTTTGCTATGTGGCAGGATTAAAGATTTTGTATGAAAAAGAGAAAATTTTAAGTTTTTATATATTCGGTAAATCAAAAAAAATATTGTCTTGTTTAAAATTTTAAAAATATTTATCTAATGATGGTTTAAAGTTTTAGTTATGTATTAGAAGGACTGATCGTAACATATCAACAATTGTGAGAATAACAACATGAATAAAAAATATGAAGGTCAATAAATTAATCATTATATTTATATTATATAACACTAATAAAAGAAAATGATATATGTATGAACTGATATTATAATATTTCAACATTAGTTTGATTTTTTTTTTCTAAAACATTATCGTCACCGTGCAACACACGGTGCATATGAGTGTTTGAGGTGGCCTCTCCTAAAGCCTAGAACCTCATTTTTCTCTTTTTCTCTCCTTCATTCTCTCAATATCCACTACTATATTTTTTTTGTCAATTTATGTTTTTTTATTAAATGTTTGCATTCAACTCCAAACCATTCATCTACTTCTATATTAATTCTAATGGCATAACTCAAAACCATTCATCTTTTCCCATCAATCATTTATATATATCTATATATATATATATATATATATATATGGGCATAATCAAATGAGAACTAATGAGTTTGTGGTAACCGTGAGATTCAATCTCAACCACAAATCAATAGATAAATTAGAAAATTTATAAGTTTGATAATTTTGAATTAAAATTTTAATGCAAGGACATTTTTGGTATTTTAAAACTCTCCTCTCTCCTCTCTTCTTTCTCCGGCCACCGTCCTTCGATCATATCACACTGGTATCACAATGTATCATACATGTGCTTGGGTATCACATTGAGATCGTTTGTGTGGTCGATCGGAGATGTAACACAGTGGTATCATAATACATCTTATATATGCTTGAGTATCACACTGTATCTTTTATTTAACAGAGTCAATATTTTTAGGTATCACCAGAGGACAGATGCCGGAGGACGGTGGCCGCAGGACGGAGAGAGATGAGAGGAGAGATGAGAGAAAATACCTAAAATGTCATTGCATTAAAACTTTAATTCAAAATTACCAAAATTATAAATTTTCTAATTTATCTATTGATTTGTGGTTAAGATTGGATCTCACGGTTACCACAAACTACTCAGTTCTTCCTTGAATGGACCTCTCTCTCTCTCTCTCTCTCTCTCTATATATATATATATATATATATACAACAACTATTTATTCATCTTCATCTCTCACACCCTCTCAAATTCTATCTCTATCATATACATCTCTAAATTTATTTTCTTTCTCTTTGGTTTTTCTTCTATTTTAATATTGATAATCTTCATAGTTTTTTTTTTGTTTTTTCACTTCTCCCATAATTTTATRTATGTTTGTATCGTTATTTAGATTGCATTATAGTTTTTATGAATTATGTCATGAAGATTTGAAGAAGTCTTCAAGTTCAATATTTGATTTTTTGGTTGCAATATAAGGTAATAATTTTATATTGATTTGTTTCATGATTTTAATTGCATTATAGTTTTATTTATGTTTGTATCGTGATTTTTGTTTGCATTATAACTCTTATGTATTAGGTGAAGATTTAAAATGTTCAAGTTCACTATGTAAATTTTACTTATATTGAACGTTTTTTGGTTTGCAGGTTTTCGAGTTCTTTAACGTTTATATATCAAGTCTTGAAATTTTGAAATTTTCAAGTTTGGGTTGTGAGAATTTATGATTATGATCTTATATAACATGATATAATCCACAATGTAGGCTAATAACTAACCTAAAGCATATAGTGTAAGTATTTGTAACTAAAAGCATATATGTAAGTATATAAGAAAGCATATATATGCATTGTGTAACTACAAACATATATAATAATCCTAAACCCTAAACCCTAAGTTTGTTTTGTAATTGAAAGTGTATTAGAATGTTATATATGTTTGTATCATGATTTTGATTGGATTATATTTTTAAGTATGTTCTTATCGTAAGTTTAGTCGTATTATAATTTTATGTATGTTCATGTTGTGATTTTGATTACATTATAATTTTATCTATTGGGTTATAAAGATTTGAAGTCCTTAAGTTTGGTATGTGATTTTTTACATATCGTATGGTTGGTCCATTCACTATTGTGTTTTTAAAGTCAATGTGTGTGTTGAGGATGAAAATTAGTACATGTACATCATCATTTGAAGGAGACATATCTTTATGTGGAGTATTTTTTATTCTTGAGTTTGTGTCAGATTCCTTAATATTTCCGTCGTTATTATTTCACATTTTATTTAGTTTTACAACTTTATTACTAAACAAATCTCTCTCACAATATATATGTATATGTGTGTGTGAGTGTGTGTGTGTGTATATATATATATATATATATATATTAAAATTCGGCATCAAAAAAGGGAAAACAGAGACATATACAACCCCCTACGCAAGGGTGTCCTGGAGGGTCACCTAACTCGCTCGACCAGAGACGGACGATTTCTTTTTTCAAGTGCTGATACCATATGACTATAACAAACAAATATATGGATATTTTCTTACCAAATCCTCATTGGGGTTTTGCATGATTTCTTATCACTGTCCTCTAATCCTGAAAGATGTTTCACTTGATTTCAGCCCTATCCATTTTAAGCGATTCAACTCTTGGATTCACTTGAAGATTTCAGAGACTTGTTGATAAAAGAATGGAGGGATGGTTGCTATTCTCGCTCAGACTGCAAGTTGACCAATTTGAAAAATAAATTAAAGATGTTGAAAGACAAAATAAGATACTGGTGGTATTTGAAGGGAAAAAAAGATGGAAGAGGACAGGAAGAAGATCCAATTGGACATGGAGGTCTTTGATCAAATCATCGATGCTGGAAATGCGGATGAGACAACCATTGTAAGATCTAAAGCCTTGAAATTGAAGGTTGAAATTGAAGCTAAGCTTCGTAACGATTTACGACAAAAAGCAAAATTCAATGGGCTGTTGAAGGTGACGAGAATACCAAGTTCTTTCATGCAATTATTAACCATAGAAGGAACAACTCTCAAATTGTGGGAGTAATGGTTGATGACTGCCAAGATTCTTGCTAATCGTCTAAGCTAAGTGCGTTATCAGTTCACTTATCAACAAGTCGCAGTCTGCTTTTTTAAAGGGCAGATTCATTTTAGATGGGGTGTTCATAGCTAATGAAATCATCAGTCGGGCGAAAAACAATAGAAAATATGTTCTTTTCATTAAAGCATATTTTGAAGAAGCATTTGACTCTTTGGATTGGGATTATCTGATGGATATTCTTGAAGCAATAGCATTCCCTTCCAAATTGAAAAATTGGATCAAATCATGCCTTCATTCTGCCTCCTCTTCAATCCTCATTAACGGCTCTCCTATTGCGGAGTTTCGAGCGCAAAGAGGCCTTTGACAAGGAGACCCATTATCTCCATTCCTCTTTATCATTGCCATGGAAGGCCTACATCACTTGATGGAGATTGTGAAAAGAAGACCTTACAAGGGGAATCGAGATCGGCTTTGAAAGGTTCAATATTTCTCACTTGTTATTCGCTGATGATGCTCTTTTTATTAATACGTGGTCGGTAGAAGAAGGGAAAATATCCTTCGCCTATTGCGATGCTTTTATTTGGCTTCGGGTTTAAAACTAAATCTTGACAAAAGTAATCTTTTAGGAGTCAGAGTTGATTCAAGAAGAGTATATTGGGCTGCCAATGAACTTAATTGTGAGGTCGGTAAATTCCTTTGTGGATACCTTGGGGTTCCTATACGAGATAATATGAATAGAATCAAGGCTTGGGACCCGACCGTGGAAATTTTTTAACGCAGATTGTCAAGATGGAAAGCTAAAGCCTTATCTGCCGGGGGAAGGAATGTCCCAGCCCAAGTTGTTCTAGGAAGCCTTGCCACTTACTTTTTGTCCATTTTCAAAGCCCCTGTTCGCACACGGTTGTCCTTAAAAGAAGAGAAAATGAGAAAAGATTTCTTCTGGGGATCAGATTATGTGGAAATAATTGCTTGGGTCAAATGGGGAGATGTCATTAAAAGTATTGATAGAGGAGGCCTCGGGTTGGAAAGTATTGATGCAGCTAACCTCGCACTTCTAATCAAGTGGGTGTGGGAACTTCATTTCGAACCAACCTCTAGTTGGTCAAAAGTGATAAAGGCCATACACGATCAGAATGGTGGAGGGGAAATCCAAATGGGATTGGCGTAGAGAAATTCAAAGTGGTAGAGAAGCCGACGACCTAAAGCAAACCAACTCAACTAAGGGAAATTTTATCACTATTGAAGTTAAAATATATACGGTTTCGCAGAACAAATGATATGGTTGCATCTTTCATGATCCTATAATCTTTTACATTATGACGGAGGAACGAAACAATGATCCGTGTCACTGAATCTAATAGATTGGGTCCACCCATGTGCTTGAGGCTGGGAAAGGTTTTCATGCGAGCAGGCCCGCCACCCAGCGCATAGATTGGATGAAGTGGTTATTGAATGGCATTCTTTATTTTATTGTTTTAAGCTTTCTAGTTATTTGGTTTGGGTTATTATTTAGTTTCCTTGTAACTTTAGGATTCCTTTTCCCTTCCTATATACAAACAAACATCCCTGTTAGGTTTAATTCAAGTTTTTCTATTACTAAATACACCTTTGAAATTTTTTATCAAATTTTATTTAAGAGTTTTCTCTTATTTTATTTGAGTTTATCGCTTGTAAATTCGTTATGGTTTTAGGGTTCGACGTTTATCAACCCACCGTTTTGTCATCCCGAATCAGATTCTGTTGGTAATTAACATGAAATTAGTGATGTATTTATGAACCAACACCTCTTTTGCATCCTTCTAAAAACGGAATCAGCATTGTCCCCATTTGAAGCTGCCATCGCAGAAGCATTTGCATCACCATCACAAGACATGATTAGAAGCAAGATTTATTCCAGATTCATTTGTCAAAATGCTCAAGCTATGTGTTTGAATCGTTGAATCTTCCATGGTTATGCACTATTACATTTTAGTTTAATGAGATACGTAATAAGCCCTTCATTAAGATATTGACATGCAGCGTCCATTCATCTGTCACTCTAAAATTTCTACTTTCATATGATAAGATATATATATATATATATATATATATATATAGAGAGAGAGAGAGAGAGAGAGTTTGGTTCAAATACTAACCAAGAAACTTATGTTAACTATATTAACCAAGCCTAACCAATCATATTTCATCGTTACTTTATGCTCAAATGTAACTCATATATTAAATACAAGGGTAATTAGGTAACTTGACATTTATGTAACTCCCTAATAATTAATTGGGAGTTACAAATCTTAAAGACTCACTAATTGATCATGATGTAATTCTGAATTTTATCTTCATACGTGTTCATGATCGTAATTTTCAAGTGATGTTCTACATATAATGATATTGTTTTTGTAAGTGTAAAAGATTTCCGTATCGTCCGAGTAATATGGATAATCCTATTGTAAAATATATTGACAACAATGGAAATGAGAAAGTTAAAATCGTCTACGACTACGGTCGGAATTCGAATTCCGATAATGAAGAAGATGATCAAAGCGTTCATATTGGTAAGTGATTAGTATGACATTTCATTTTGTTTAAATGAACACATATCAAAGGCAATAGATGTTCATATCGATACATATRCACAATCAYATCACATGAATATGAACARTATATGTGATTCATGTGAACACAAGCTTCGTAAGTGTTCATGTACATACAACAGAGTTGGCTCCTGAATATACAGAAGATGTTCATACGGTTCACATGTTGTTCATATGTCTAATCTTTTTTGTTTGATGTGTTTTGAGGATATACACAAGTTGTTCATATGTCTGACAACTCGTGTATCAAAGATAGATTACTTTTTACCTAAATACCCTTTGATATTTTGTTCACATATGTTAATTGAAAATATTAATTTAATAATTAATTTTTAAATATCATTAAATCACAACCGTTTATTATTCAAATTAACGGCTAAGATCGGTTAACAAAGTTAACACGATAATCTTGGTTAGCATTTGGACCAGCCCTTATATATATATATATATGTATATGTATATGTATATGTATATGTATATGTATATGTATATGTATATGTATGTGTATGTGTATGTGTGTGTACAATATTTTTATTTGGAAATTGAATATATTTGCATCTACTCTCTCGGTCTCGGAATAAATGCTATAAATATTTAAGAATATAATTTAAAAAATAAATAAATAAATTCTTAAATATACCTTTAACTAATGCACAGATATTTAAGAATCGTGAATAGAGAGAAATCAAATAAAGGTAAAATTATCATTTAATTAACAAATTGAAATCAACCACTACTGATTTTGACGTTGTTATTAATTAGTAAATATTTCATCCGTCCCAGAATATTATTATACTTTTTAGTTAAGCAAATGTCAATTTTAGTTGTATTTATTAACTTCACGCCTATTAAACATTTTTACATTAATTAAAGGTAAATTTAAAAATTTAGTCATCTACTTTTGAAATTGGACATTTATTCGGGACAAATGTAAATATGTATATCTATATATATATATATATATATATATATATATATGGACACTTATTTTGGAACTGTAGAAGTAATAATTTATAATTTAATGTTGGTTTATTTCCAAGATTTTGGCCAAAAATAAAATACCCTAAAAAGGCCTCTTTGTAACCTTGATAATTCATCAAAAAATATACCATGTTCTCATTAAAGCGTGTGTAAACAACATGTTTTTGATTGTGCTTCCATTTTACAACTACAATTATAATGCTACAAATTTCTTTAATAGGATGAGAAGATGTATACTGAAGCAATAACGACGAGAAGCATGAAACCAGCGGCAAGGAGAAGACAATAACGATAAGAGGAGATTGATTTCTGCTTGACGATATTGTGAAAACAACCACGATCATTTTTGTTTGATAAGAGGGGAGGGACAAAGGGGAAGGAGATAGGGAAAATAGAAGGGGAAGAAGGCATTTTGAAATCAATAGCTACGGTATCTCTCCAGCAAAAGTGGATGGGCAACATTGAATTCAATTTTGGAGTGCACGAAAAACATTTAAATGTCGTGTATTATTAAGTCGATTTGTAAAGTTCAAAATAGTATGTAAAATGCGAACGCCAATTGTTACCTAAAACGGAAGTAAGTTTGATTATTAGGTGATTAGTCTAATCATTTTAGAATTTTACCATTAAAATTAAATAGGTAAAAGCAGGAATCTCGTTAAATGCTTATCTAATCTTAATGCTCTTACTTCAGTCATACGTCATTAAAGCAAACGATTTGTGTAGTTAGGAATGTTTTTTCACCTTAAAAGAGGGTTCTAAATGTTCATAAAAAGATAAATCATAACCTCTGAATCCGCTCGATACCACTAATATATATCGTAGTTATTTTCATGTTCATATTAATATTAAATTTCGGTCTTTTTCACTAACTTTCTTTAATTTATTGTCTACAAGTCTTGTTTTGTGTTTATTGGCTTTTTATTTTCATCATTTCTAGTGTATATTTCATTGATTCATTCTTTATATTAGATGGGTTTTTTTGGTTGCTATTGGTGGTGAAACTTCTACAGCACGCTTCTAGCAACTTGTTAAATGACTTCGAAGTTATGTACATCAGGTGTTAAACTTTGGGTACATTTGATGCTACATGCAGAGAGTTGCTTGTGATTTGGGGTAGTCACATACTTTGCCCTATGTGACATGTCCCACAACTTTCAAGTCGCGTCACATTCATCATGGATCGTGAATAGTGCAAACATTTGTCGCAAATATTCCCGTTCATTGTTCATTATGAATGTGGACAACTTGGGAAACATGTCACTACAAAAATGCAGAGTATCAGCGAAGGAAAAATCCCTCGCAAATCCGTCGCTGAAAGGGCAATCCGTCGCTGATCCGTCGCTAATACTCCGTCGGTCAAACAGTCGTAGGTAGTGCTATCAGCGACGGATCAGCGACGGATATCAGTGACGGATTTGCGATGGACACTTTCAGCGATGGATCAGCGTGGAAAGTATTTAGCGACGGATCAGCGAGGGATCTGCGACGGATATATCAGCGACGGATCTGCGACGGAAAATTCAACGACGGATCTGCGATGGAATTTTTAGCGATGGATTTGCGAGGGAACTTTTAGCGACGGATTTGTGAGGGAAGTTTCAGCGACAGATTTGCGAGGGAACTTTCAGCGACGGATCTGCGAGGGAATTTCAGCGACGGATCTGCGACGGAACTTTCAGCGACGGATCTGCGACGGAAGTTTCAGCGACGGATCTGCGAGGGAACTTTCAGCGACGGATCTGCGAGGGAACTTTCAGCGACGGATCTGCGAGGGAATTTCAAGGACTTTCAGCGACGGATTTTCCCTCGCTAATCCGTCGCTAATTTGTATAAAATTAAAAAATAAATTTTTAAAAAATGCATAAATCCTGTATTTATTTATAAAAAAACCTGGAAATAATAATATATAACAAACCAAATCTGTGAACAAAGTAACCAATTCATACGATTTAAAATATTCAATTCATACATTTTAATCTTCGAATACATACAATCTAACTATCGGGAGGTGGGGGAGGTGGGAAAACGTATCCTGACTGCCGCATAAACGCATTAAAATGCTCCGATAATGCGGCCTGTTGGGCTAATGCAGCAACTTGTCTAGCCTGTTCAGCTTCCGAGGCAGCTTGTCTGGCCTCCAAATCTGCCCTATTCTTCTGTTCGGTCTCGAGTTCCTCTTCTACCCTTGACAACTTCTCTCTCAACCCCGTTACCTGTAAATATTCAATATTCTTCGAAATCAGTAATTTGTTCGCAATTTTAGTTATGAGAAAGTTAATAACAATATAACCAACGTACCTCCGCTCTTGACTCGTATGATGACCCGCTACTGCTACATCTACCCGTCATAGCATAAGAGGGATCCTGGGTGGTCCCGAAACCAAATATTCGGCCTTTCCTCCGTCCTCCGACACTTTGCTCCCAAAGAGATGCCTTATCAGGGAGAGGGATGTCGGTATTAGATTGTGACTCACCCCTACGCTCCTATGGTTCACCAAAACAAAATCGGGTGAGGTTATGTATGTAGATATTTCAGCAGCATAACGACTGTAAATCAAACATAACCAATGCATGTATTTAACAACTAAGCATTCTAATAATATCAATGTTCGAAGTCGCATTCTCAACCTACTTACTTAGCCTAACGTCTGCCCAACAATGGCAACCCAAACTAATAGCATCACTATGTTTATTGAAATATATTACCTTAAACCTACCAAACGTATCTATTAACCAAAGTAATGGTTTTAAAAAACTTACATGATACCTAGCAGCTTTCGGGTAACTGAACTGAGGTATGTTTAAGCTTAAGCTTGGGAGTTGCGGCTGCAAAGCTTGGGGCTGTTATTTATAGGTTGATTTTATTCCATGAATGGTCATTCAATCAATACATAAAATTTCCATTTCCATCCAAATTATAAGTTCATTGCGAATTCGAGTTTGAGCTCAATCTCGTTATTCATAGAATCAACGAGTTTTAGAAGAGATAATTTTTGGATATATTCTCATAATCAACCGGATCAATCTTTGTTTTGATTTCCATATGTTGCGTTAAAAATTAATTATTGGTTTCTAATTAAATTTATAAAATATAAATATAAATACATGCAAGAATTTAAATAGATAATTAATAAATAAATTTAAAAAAAAAACTTTTGTCTGCGTCACATTTCTGGGCAGGCAATAGATAGTAAAAACAAACTTTTGTGTGTCATCTTTTGTCCTAGCAAAAGACTTCAAGCTTTCGTTAAAAGATGGTATGACGATCATGCGAGATCAATTATTACCGGTGACTCCTATTAGCTTTTGCCAACGGCTTCTATGCCTCAATTAAAATGGCTATTCCGATGCACCCTATTTATTGCGGGCAAAAGTCTCATTAACAGGTTACATTGAATCGACTCTCTTTTGTATAGTGACTTAACCCTTTTGCTTCTTATGAAATTATAAGCCTCTTCCACATTGCAATTATCTTTTGGGGGGGTTCCATGGATTATCTACAAATAAAAATGATGGAAAATCATCGGATTTCATATTATCGTTTATCCATACACATCCATCTCGATAGTTTGGGTTACAAAACCGTCAGTGGTGCCTTGGTGACTCGTTAGTAGTAGTTTGGAAAGAACATGTTTCTTAACTGGGAGGCATTTTAGAATCCATTTGTGTATACAACTGTCAATCAAAAACTACAGTTCAACAAACTATACCAGTACTTACTATAGAACTCATGTATATAATATTTTCAACATATAACATAGGAAAGATTCAAAGATAGATGGGGTGCTCTCTATCATCAACTGGTACATAGGAAAGATTCAAAGATTCAAACATATAACATATAATATTTTCCAAGCATTCTCAAAAGACAAATGGGGTGCTCTCTATCATCTACTGGTACTGGTACTGTATTCCCATTCCCAAATGGTTCCGGCCCAAAATGGCAGATCGGAAACAATTAAATTATTGGTACTGGTACTACTCAATTAAAGTTGCTTCCATTTGAAAAAAGAAAGTTGATTATTACCATCAAAACCTTGTTCAACAAAATCATTAGATGGTGACTTTGAAACAGAAGGGTAATCCCATATAAACCAATATCCTAGTCAATTGTCAGAATAAAATATCTTGACAAACATAACTACATAAGTTCGAAAATTTCCATGTGATAACAATATATAACATAAGTACAGAAACAAACTACCTGAAAGACCAATATAATCCATAAAGTAGGAAATGGCAAGAAAAATGAATACATTGGTATATAGGAAGCAGCAATGGGGAAATTTCTAAGGTTCTCACTTCCTCTTCTCTAGAAATTGACAGTTTTATTTAGACAAAATAGCGACTTTTGCTTGGAAAGGGTCTTTAGACCCACCGGCACCCAAAAGTCGATTAATCGATTCCAGTGTCTAAGTGATGGAGCAATGAAATGTTACTGGGTACAAGAGTAATTACCTTGAAGATGCTCTTGTGCAAAGTACTTAAGATCAGCGGCATACTACTAATTTGCCAATCTTATACCTTCCAAATCTGTTGCAACATCTTTCATATTTGGCCGTAGCATCCCATTCAGATTTAAACATCTTTTTGCAAGGTTTGCAACTGCTATGAGTTGTACCTTGGGTGCATCTGATACTCGATCATCAACGTTTTCCACGAGTTGTTCATCTTCCATGGAAAAAATGAACGTTGCCAAACCCATTCTCTCCCCATAAGGTGTTCTAAAGATGGGGTTTTTCCCGGTCAAGAGCTCAAGGAGAACAACACCAAAGCTATATACATCACTTTTTTCAGTAAGATGGCTTGATTGGAAGTACTCTGGATCTAAATAACCCATGGTACCTTTGACTAAGGTGCTTAGATGGGTTTGATCATCTGATAATGACTTTGAAACTCCAAAGTCTGATATTTTTGCTCTAAATTTGTCATCCAAAAGAATGTTTGAAGATTTAATGTCTCTATGATAAATTGGTGCGAAAGTTGCCGAATGTAAATAAGCAAGAGCTCCCGCTATCTCTATAGAAATTTGCAACCGCAATTTCCACAAGGTAGGGAACTCATAATTCTCGTCGTGGATGAAGTCAAAAAGAGTTCCATTACCAACAAACTCATAAACAAGCATTGGAACTTCGGTTTCCAAACAACACCCCAGAAGCTTAACCACATGTTTGTGGATGATTTGGGATAGTATAAAAACCTCATTGATAAAGGTTTCAACTTGACTCTCATCCACCAACATCGACTTCTTTACTGCTACTATCCTTCCATCTGCTAGCATTCCCTTGTAGACTGTCCCTTGACCCCCTCTGCCGACTATTCTGTCCTCATTGAATTGTCCAGTTGCTTTATCTAATTCTATTGCATTGAAAAGTCTGATTTGACGATCAACCATCCGTTCACCACTTGAGATTTGTTGTTGTAGGAGTAAACCACCATTTCTTTTGAAGAATTTCTCTTTGAGATTCTTAAGTTTCCTCTTTTGCACTACTTTGAGTAGCCACAATGAGAAGATTAGAACCAGTATGCCCGAAAGAGCACCTCCTATTATCATGGAAAAGTTACCATGTTACGTGGCATCCTTAGTTTTAAAATTGTGTTTAACTGAAGTGATTTAGAAAACCAACAAGAAAAGGGAACATTTTTGGAGCAAGCAAAATGAACTAAAAGGGGTGTCATTACTAAAAAAGAGGTGCAAACAGTAAGAGACGCTTACCAACAATATTATTATGCCATTTTGATCACTGAGAATTTGCCTTAGTAAAGTAAGGGTGGTGATTTTTATTTCAAACGAAGTTGAACAACAAAGTAAAACACTATGAAATAAGCTTTTGGAATGTTTTTTTATGAACATTTTTCAAGAAACGCCTTTTAAAATGTTAGATAGAAGGCTAATAAGTGTTTATTTGGGCATGGGGGTTTATTATAAATGATCAGAAAATGTTTACACTGTAAAGTTTACAGGAGTAGAAGAAAAAGATAGAATTTACCTAATGTGAGTTGGAGAATTGGAATTTTGCGACTACAACCACCTTTAATCTTGGCATCACCAGAATACCCTTGTTTACATTTGCACGTGTAATTCCCGGGAATATTAACACAAGTTCCATAACATGGAAACTGCAACTTATCTTTACACTCATCGATATCTGAAAATAAAATGGAGTATCACAAAGCATTAATCGGTTAATAGTAAGCATAGAAAATGAAAAAAAAAATCCATTCCAAACCCTTCAATCCTAACTAAGATGAATAAATTGTGTTGATATATAATACATGTAGCTCTTATTGAAAAATGAAAACATTAAATCATCCACTACTACCAAATTTTTTAATATAATTTTTATAGTTTCATGTTATTTTTTTATCAACTTGGACATCCAACCCGCTATGAAAGCTGACTAATCCCAGAATGATCACTCGAAGTCATCGTATTTGAACATTCGCAGCCACAAGAGGATTTTTATCCCTCCTTAAATTTGAACATGAGACCTCCAAATACTTTTGATCTTTTAAGCTCAAGCTCAAACCAATCGTACACCATCCCTATGCTTACATGTCAATTTTTATCAATTACTTGAAAATTACTATTCACTATAATGACTTTTACCCAAACTTTAGTTACATGAGCATTAAAAAACTATTATTTAATCAAATAATAACAAAACTCCAATTAAATACCATTTATTACACTTTAATATCAAAATATTAATGTATTAATTAACATAAAAAGTAAATAGTTATTATAATGTAAAATTAATTAACTAAGTATTAAAGTATTTTATTTTAATATAGACTCTTTTTTGATTGATAAATTAAAATTTTATTTTTCTGTTCGTCAAAAATATGTATTGTATATGTTGTTTGTGTTGTATTATTAACTACTTTTACTAGTTTTATTTGTAATATGTTATGTTATATTTTTAATATACCTTAAATATTTTATAAACTTAATTTTTGCATTTTGAATATTTGTTAAAATGGCAATGTTAAACTTTTAATTTGAGGGTTTATAATATATTTAACAACGTTAATTAAGATCAAATCATATGTTAGAAATCGCTATAACGAATTCCGATATTGTAACAAATTATTTATGCTTCTTTTATAAATATACGTGACATGTCATAAAAAAACGTAATGAGACATTAACCATTATAATTATGTATTTATATAGATTATATAAAATATCATTATAAAAACATATTGAGACATTAACAATTATGATAATGTATTTATATAGATTATAGTTTGAGAGTGTGTTCACAAAATATAATGATATTTACAAAAGAAAGTGTTCATAATGTATTCATTTTGTGTGCACATTCAATTATATGTGTGTGGACATGCGTTCGTGTACGTTACGGAGAGACGAGAGAGAATAGCATGAGAGTGAAGAGGAGAGATAAGAGTGGAGGAAAAGAGTTTATTTAAATTATGTTACAATTTATTTTTTTAAAACTAATTTCTTATAGTTTAAATTGGATCTTTATGAATTAAAAAATTCTCAAAAAGAATGCTTTTATATATGTATAGAGAGGGGAGGGGGGGGGGGAGAGGAGGTTCAAACCAAAATAGTAACCAAACAAAAAACACAAAACAACCAAATCAAGTGCAAAATCACATGTTATTTTACACTTACACTAACGGTCAACACAAAGTCGCGTGACATATTTTAAGATCTAGATATAAAATTACATATGATTTACGGTTTCTTATTCTCTTATCTTATTTGGTTATTGTTCTTTATTATTCCCTTCTCTATCTATACACACACATATATATATATATATATATATATTATAATTTCAGTTTTGATAATCTCACATAGACGATAGATTGAGAGAAAGGAGATGGTAATGCGTCATTTTGTGGAACCTCTTTTTTCCGAACATAATACTTGCATTAAACTACTAAAAAATGGGGTTTTTCCTACCTTTCCGACTGATTTCTGATGGATGTTGATATCGGAAAAACCCCCGACGCTTAATGCAAATCCCGACGGAATTATTGACAGATTTGTATTTTCTAACGGAATAACCCGCTAGAAATCCGTCGAACAGTTTTATAATATGTTGTACCTTTTCCGGGTTAATTAGAAGCTTTAGAAAATGTGATTAGTATTACCGACGACAATTCAAACGCAAAACCGTTGGTAATTTGATTTTTTTTAAACTTTTATTTAAAATAATAACCGGTTTTAATATCAGAAATTGAAATAAACAATTAATTAAAATTTGTCAGACATCTGTCCGAAACTATAATTAATTAACAATGATTAATTTATTTTAAAAAACTTTGACCCATTTTGTGAGGGATTTTGGACGGATTTGTGACAGAATTAAATAAGTAAAAAAAATTCACAAATCCGTAGATAAAGTTATTGAAATAAATTTTTATTTTTATAAAAAAATCTAGTAACAGATTTGTGGGGGACTTCAAGTGGAAGTTAACAAAAGGTAACTTTTCTTGACTTTTTTGGGATCCGTCACTGAATTTTCCGACGGAATCTTCTCCGTCAAGAAAAATCCGTCGATGATACCTATTTTTTAGTATTGTTAATAAATTAAATACAGTTTATATATCTATAGAAAATATTACATTAAGATGACGTGATACAATTATATTGATATTATTGTTCTTAACTATTGAATTGTGGTGTTGGCTTCTTTTTGTTACTAGCTAGTTGGCATTCGAGTTTGTGTGTAACTTGACTGATTCAAGGTCTGGAGGAGACAACCTGGAAAATCCAGTGGCCTTGTAAGAACTCGAAAAGGTGACCTAGCTATTAGGTAGGATATCACAAAAACCCAAGTCTTATTTTGAGTTGAAACAACTCTCACATGGATAAAAGGAGATGATTGATTGTGAAAGTGGTGTGAATAAATTAAAAGAGTAGAGGATGACTTTAAATCGTATATTTGTATCTTTATGTCTTTATATAAAAGGAACAATCAAAGAGAATGAGTAACAACTCCTAAGTATCTATATCGGATTTAAGGAATGAAAGAAGGCAAGAGGGAAGTGACTACAAAAAGAAAGACAACTTTTTTCTTAATTTATGGTTTGATACAATATTGGAGAGGAGAGATTGAACAGACAGGAGGTAGGTGTCTATTGAAATTTAAAATCTATTGTGTCAATTAACATTACTTACTTTTATATGAATTTATCTCACTTGTCGAAATCAAATGGTATATAAATCACCTATTAATTGATAAACTTTATGCTACCAAATTAGTATTGTATGGACTGATTTATTATGTAACCAAATTTCGATGCGATGTTATTGAGGTTTAACTTCATTTCGTTGAGGTTTTTTTAGATTAAGTACGAGGTTATTTGGTTGGTTTTCTATCAATAAAGATGTGTGGATTAATCCATCCATCTGTATAGATTAAGAACTTTTTTATTTGGGAGAGGGTTTTGTATAGGAGGGTAAGGTTTGGAAAAAACTTGTCTTTCTACATAGTGCTCTCTTCTAAAAGCTTACAGAATATAGCTACTTTTTTTATCATTAAGCCACTATCGAACTGACTGACAGACGGAATAAGGATTTCAAAGATAAAACTTCTTTCTTTGTTGGCCCATAAATTGACAATTTGATTATTCCTTCTTATTATTAAGCATCTGAATCATGAATTGTCTTCTTATGACTCATCAATCAGATCTATTCGTTTTTTGAAACAACTGTTCAAGCAGAAAAGCAATCCCCTTGCCTCTGTGAGTCACATTAAACTCGTTAAACTGCTAACAAACAAACCCTAAATCTCTATGAACATATTCATGTTAAGGGCTAGTTACTCTGAAAAATAAATATTAGGCCTTAATGTTCCTCCTTAAAGGTTATTAGTTGGAGCCTAAGGATCCCACGGATTAGTTGATGTAGAAGATGGCCTTAGACATCTATGGTTGCTCAAAAAAAGGAGTTGAGGAACTTGTGAAAAGAAAAGACGATAATTTGCAACAAGTGTAAAGCTTGGTAACTTAGATTGTACCTTGGCAACCAGGAGATAGATAGGGATTTCCTTCATAACCTTCGTTACATTTGCAACGGTACCCACCTGTTTCCTTTTTAGAGTTAACACACATGCTATTTGATTGGCAGGCAGTACCATTTATTGCTTCGGCTTCGTTGCAACTCAGATCACCAATTGCCCAATCAAGCACTATTGGAACATTAGCTTCAATCTTTTTAGCCAAGGAAGTGTCGTTTAAAACTGTTGTACCATTGAACTTGAATGCTTCCACGTCCCCGACAAAGGCATATGTACAGGGATTTAAAGTCTCTCTGTTGCTCATGCCGAGTACTTCACTTAGCAAGGGCCGAGGCGTAATATTTGGATTACGAGACCCATTGTTCGAAAAGTCGGAATCTTGCAAGGCATAGAATTGAGTTACATAGTAGTTTATGGGTTCGGGTATGGATGATTGACAGCAAGCATTGCCTGAACAGTCATCACCTATATCATCCTCTTCGTTATAGCAAATCACCAAACAACCTGTAGGCCTCATTTTTGAGGTCACCCAAGCATATTCATTGCAGCCGATGAC